TCCATGAACATTCTTTTGGCGCATCATGCCATCATTCACTTTGGGAAAGGAACACTCTGTGACATGTTTGTTTGGTTAGTCTTTGGTTGTTGTTTTCCTGTTGCAGTTATCAACCTCTGGTTCTACTAAGCATAGTTACTAACTATGAACTAAGTAATCAATTGCTTGCACCATAAAAATTGTTACCTTATCCCATCTTGTTTCCATGCCATTCCACTGCAAAAACAAGCAAGACTTCATCATTAGAAGCTGATTTGCATTTAGCATCATAGGCACGCAATGCGTGCAAAAGGATAACAAGTTTTGAAAGCCGTAAAAAAAATACCGTTAAACAATCGACTACAGGTTGAGGTTTATCCTGTTGTAGTCAACACAAGGGCAAAGTAGCACGCGTACGTGAAGTGGAAATCACACAAAAATTGTTCTCCAAACTGATAAGTATTAAAGGACTAAATTATCACCTGGTGGCATTCAATTATGTTTCCTCTTCTTATGAGCTTTGTTTGAGCACTTCTATCACCTGGGTAAAGAATTAATGTCAGTGACACCTAAACTGAAACCTTTAAAATCTTGTGATCAATTTATATTTCAATTTTGGTTCGTGGCACCAAGTTGCAGGTGGTAAGAAAAAGGAAAGGGTATAGATGGTCTGGAATTAAAGGAGGCACTTAACATTGTTTTCTGTGAGCATAACTAGGTTAGGAACATTGCCACCTCCCCCTGGAGGGGATCCTCATCTACTGCAGCTCACCACCCAGCATGGCTTCACCAGCCTTTTGTCACTATGTGTATTGGAGTCCTTGTTTGTGTTCTGATCTGCATGATGGTTGTTTTTTGTTTCTAAGTTGCTACTGTGCTGTACACTGTATTTTGCAGTACCTGGTCTAAGAAGAGCTTCTGGACCGGGAAGATCCTCTAGTTTGACATCACCCAACTGACCACTAAAAAAACAGACAAGCACAAAACAAACAAAAAGATTGGATGCATACTCTCATTTGAACCCATAATATGGGAGATGTATGCGGGTGGTCACAAGTCAGTGATACAGCTGCTGTATAATTAGACCAGTGAGCCATGTGTCACCATGTGTCCGTAAGCAGGCAAGATGAACTGAATCCTGTACTATGACTGGCTACTCGAGCGGGCAAGTTGAAGCTATCTTGCCCACTCCAGATTACCCGCTGTATCCCACAAGAAAATAGTGTTCTTTTTCCAGTTAATAAATCCTCTATTAACCAAGCTTGTTAGGTCAAGATGGCTAGATATTGGCCTTGTTCTTTTTTGAGGGTTTATGAACCTTGATGCTGACTCAGTCCATAAACACGCAGAAAAAGAACTTGGCCAATATCAGGCCATCTCAAATTCATGCTTGGTCAATAACCCATATATATTGAAATGCAATGGTTAATGACCATGTACCTGGCAGCCTCAGCTGGAATAGCATGACTTGCAACTTCAGCATCAAATAGCTGCAGGAAGAGACAAATTGGGAATCAACTATTCTGTTAAATTATTTGATCTTTTTCTTTTAATGCTACTTAACAAAACAATCTGAATAGAAAGCAAATGACCGATACCAAACTGACCTTTAACTCTTCTTCTGATGCAAATCTCTCTTCAGAAGCAGTGAAAACACGTGCAATACCATCACTAGAAAAAAGAACAAATATATCATTATCATCTTTTCATAATGAAAACAAACGGCTGTAGTAACCTGTGTGCAAAGAGACACACTGTGTACTACAGGAGCTTGTGTTAAGAGTTTGTGATTTGATAAACAAAAAAAATATTAAACCATTCAAATCTGTAAGAAAATCACAATGAAATAATTATATGAAATAAGAAAGATGCATGCAACATATGCATAATTATATGTACATTATTACAAACTCTTGAATCAAACTGACCTTGAACCAGCTACAATGTCTCCATTACTTAAACATGTAACACACCAGACTGACTGGGCAGGGAGTGTGATTGTCTGAGAGCATTCTCCTCCTGATAACAGTGAAAAATTTACAGTTTATAGATAAGCGATGTTGCACAAACAATAGATTAATGGATTAATAAAACTTAATATTACAAATTTTGAAGTTCTGTTCAAGAGGTAAACTGTATAAATTATTTATTAAATGCAATGTCTGAAAGGAGTTACATACCCTTCCATATTCGCAGTGACCTGTCTTCTCCAACAGAGACAAAACTGCCACAGTCATCAGGCAGAGCTGCAATACTGTAGATAAAAACAAGTATGACACAAAATTTAATTTTTTTTATTGACTCCAATAAAATCCATTTCCACAGATTGAGATTAAGGTGAACATACTATTAATTTCAATTACATGACCAAATGTGTAGTGGTCAGAGGTACAAGTACTTCACAATGCTCCCTTACCTTTCTCTAGATTTTGCTAATGGTGGATCAAGATAAGATTAATTAAAGACAATTAAACGCCAGCTGATAACTAGGTCTGAGACTGACCTGTAGATAAAGCTTGTATGTCCCGTGTACACTTGGAGACATTCACCTGTGCACATCCATCTTCTGATGGTGCTGATCAGAGAAAACAAATCATCACACAATGTAAGTTTACACTGATAGTTCACAATAGGAGTGCTACATGTACTTAACTTGTAAAATCTAAGCCTGCTTCCAACTTTTAAGCCTGCATGGATGAAACTCTAGTGTTGGAATATTCTCATGAAAGTTCTTGTACTACATGACTGCGTAATTTGCCTGGCAAGATTTCTTTTTTCAGTAGAGCAGAATCTCTTTACAACAGCCACCCTTGGGCAGAATTAACAGACCATTGTAAGGTGGCGGCCATTGAAGGGAGGTTTAAATGTGAGTAAAATGGTGTAGTAGAGACAAAAAGTCCTAACCATCGTGAAGAGGGAGTCATTAGTGGAGGTTTGACTGTCTTCTGAGTGTGACAATCTCAGGCATTTGAAAACAAGAATCAGTGAGATTACATTGAATACCTATCATTAGAACAGGACAAAAACTCCAGAGCTGAGAGCACAGCTAGACCTCTGACACAGTCACTGTGACCGGTAAAGGTCATTTGACATGCTCCGGCCTTCCACATCTTGATTGTCCTGTCAGCTGAACCTGGAAAATAGGAAAAAAGAACATACACCAGCCAGTAATGAATGTGCTGCATTAATTATTTAATAAATTATTGTTATCTATTAAAATAAGTCTAGTTGCTTACTTAATTTTCAAACTGTGTTTCAAAATACACATCACAGATAACAAACAAAAATAATTACAATACACCAGAATAGGAAACAGGAAACAGGTCAAAACAAAAAAATAGACACAAGGAAAAAACAAAGAGAACTTTAAGTTTGACAGTGGTCATTTCAAGTACCATTTAAAGGTAGTGAAAGTCATGTTTGCTTCAATCTAAAGTTTTCAACACAACCCCGGAATGGTCAATGTTATTTTGAGAGTTCATTTTGAACTGTTACATACATGTAAGTCTGTCTGCTGATAGCAGGAATCAATTCACAACAAGACTTGTAGCAGGTCAGTCATTTTCTCATAAATACTACTAATAATATATGCGAATACATGGTCCAAAATGCCTTAAACTACCTGTGAGCATAAGTCCGTGGTCTGGCATCAGTTGGACAGCCCATACAGCTGCCTCATGACCTTGTAATTTCATCATACATTTGCTTCCAATCCACACACACGCAGTGCTGCAATAAGAGATATTTAGTAACCATTATAATATAGATAGGACCCTGCACATGCTCTGATTAGTCAAAAACCCATGTTTTATCAGAGTATAAAACATAGAAAAAGAGTGTTTTATTGTTTTTCACCCCATTACCACATTACACTCTGGACATTTGAGAACCCTTGAGAAATGTAGAAAACACGAGCCGCAGGCGAGTGTTTTCTACATTTCCCTTGTGTTCTCAAATGCCCCTCATGTTTTATCACAGTGTACTACATGGCTTGGGCTTCTTTATTTGTTAATCCAAAAATATTATCAAAAACTA